AGGAAATATCTGCTGTTCTTCTGCTCTAACTTTAACAGGTTATAGGCCCAGTTTGGTGAAAGAAAAGAATTCTAGTGAAGAGGTTAGGGTGACCACGTGCGTCGCATATCAAGATGAGTTTAAATTTGGCGAAAATTGAGGCTTTAAATAAAAACAATTATGACACGTGGCGAATGCAAGCCGAGGCATTACTGGTAAAAAATGATCATTGGCAACATGTATCTGGTGAAGCAATTAAGCCAGAAATTATAGAGGGTGATGCAACCTCCATCGTAGCCTATAATAAATGGATAACCGAGGATAGAAAAGCCAGATCTGATTTAATACTCAGTATTGCACCAAGTGAACTAAAACAGTTGAAGGGGTGCGAGACAGCACGTGAGACATGGTTGAAGCTGGAATCAATATATGCTTCAAAGGGGCCTGCGAGAAAGGCCACGTTGTTAAAACAGTTAACACTGCAAAAGATGCAGGAAGGGGAAGATGTGAGGGAACATATTAACAAGTTTTTTGATGCAGTGGACAAGTTGGAGGAAATGAATGTAGAAATTAACCCTGACTTGTTGTCAATTATGCTATTGTATAGTTTGCCAGGAAGTTATGAGAACTTCAGATGCGCAATTGAGTCCCGAGACAACTTACCTGGTGTTGAAGCTCTGAAAATAAAAATCCTAGAAGAGAGTGATGCACGAAAACAAAGTTGCAGCCCAAGTGGGATTTCAAACGCAATGTGGGTAACAGCAAAAAGGAGTCAAACTGGGGGACAGAACTTTCAGAGAAAAAAAACTGGTGAAGAAATCAACACAACTGACAGCAAAGATACGTCGAAAGGAAGTCTGAACTACAACATAACATGTTTTAGATGTAACAGAAAGGGGCACATTGCTGCAAAATGTTATGCGAGGATTCCGCCAAAAGGAAATAAAACCTTCAGAAGCAATGAACGAAGTGCAAAGATGGTGGAGGAAACATTCTATGCAGCAGTTGCAAATAAAACCATGACTGGGGAGCTAGAAGAAAGATGGTGCTTAGATAGTGGATGCACTGCTCATTTGTGCAAAAATGAAGAGATGTTTCACGTAATGGAACCAGTAAATGAAAATCTGCATCTAGCTGATAAAAATTCCACTACTGTTGAAGGCAAAGGAAGAGTTAGAGTAAAGGTCATGGATGAAAACACTGAAAAGTACATAAACTTTGAAAACACACTTTTGGTGCCAACTTTGAGGACCAATTTGGTGTCAGTCGCACGAATAGTCGACAAAAACCATGAGGTAGTATTTAATAAGCATGTTGCCACGGTGAGAGATTATGAAGGTAATGTTAGGCTGGTGGCAAATAAGATTGGTAACCTGTATTTTATAAAACAACCGGAAGTACAAATGGCTCAAAAGATTGGTGGAGATGACATAAGGTTAAAATTATGGCATGAACGGTTGGGACACTTAAATGTAAAATACCTAATAAAGATATTGAGAGATGTGAATGTTAATACAAGTGACGGCAGTAAAATTTTAGAATGTCGAGTATGTGCTTTGGGTAAACAAACAGTATTACCGTTTAAGTCGTCACATGAAAGGGCCAAGAACAAATTAGAAATAGTGCACAGTGACATATGTGGACCGTTTAGACAACAATCTATGGAGGGTGCAAGATACTATTGTACCTTTGTTACGTGGCCGACGGCTTGGCAGCGCGCGTGGCTATCAGAGGCTTTCTGATTGGCGGCCGCGTAACTTATTTTATTATCAATACAACCCGAGCGGTAAGATTGTATTGTGGTAGGAACTGTCACAAGGTTTCACTGGGTTTAAAGGAGAATGCTAATGTGGGTTTGACACAGCAATGTATATATTCTACAATCTTGGTCTATTACAGATGTTGTTGTCGCGAATATAGGTGTATAATGTGATATATTACCTATTTCCACTATGCTCGGTGTTCACGCACTGGCAATGCGGGGGTGTTGTGTGTGGTTGATTGTAATGCCAAATAGAAACACGACTCGCGGATTCTATAAGGTGAATGTTGCTCGAAGGGGACTTCAACCCGATCTCACTAATAGTAACCAACTCACTACCGTACACGACGTGCTCGACATGAGATGAGCTCTGGTACTGCCCCCGATCGTTGGTACGAACGGGTTTATATACTAATTAAGAAGGGTGGTCTGGTTACTATTCGAGTGATCAGGCTGGGTCCACCTGCCTCTGCGACAGTTTAGAGTGGTTGCATCTGCTATTTGATTACGGCGGACCCATTGCTTTCCCAAGTGTTTGGTTCTGCTATCGGTGGGCCTTCTGTTTATTACGAGAGTAAATGGTCGGTTTGCCCGAGAGTTTTCCTTTCCAGATGTTTAAGCTTATTTGAAAGGAGACACGTTTGATAAAAACGGTCTGTCTACGTGACACCTCCCCCCTTAGATGAAACATCGCGGTAATCGTGATGCTTTCAATTGGAAAGGAAAACACTCACTAGAATGTGTTGAAGTTTTGGTGTTGTAATGCAATATGTCGGGTGTTATGTGTGATGTGTGTGTACTTATCGCTACGTGTGATGGTTGGTGATGCTGCTAACTGCGGTATGAAGTCGAAGCGTACGTCTGGGTCTAGGCTGCCTCGATCGGATTTGTCTCTCGGTGTACCAGGTTGGTACTATTGCAGGCGGTGGTATGGGTTGGTTTGCTCTTTGGTATTCCATTTCCATGATGATGGCGGCAATACACTCCTCGCAGTGGTAGGCGGCCTGCAACTCCATCAGGGGCGCGCTGCAAATATCGCAGGCCCCAGGCGGATATGCCGTTGGTAGTGGATAGTGTACCTCCACCATGTCATAGATCCTTGCTGCTCCAAGGGCTGCTTCGAGAGCACACTGCCTACAGACAATGCCAACGTCTAATCTGTAGCAAGTGCTGCGCATGCACAGGCGGGCCGTCAAGTTCATCAGCAGCTCGATGCGACTGGTGTCCCTCTCAGTTGGTTGTTCCCTGATGTAGCACATTTCGGTCCGCTCAGATAAGTGTTTTGGAAGAATGGTGTTGTGGTCTGCTTTTATACCCGGCCTGGAACCGCGTATCTCATGCCCAACCACGCCTCCGCCACGTTGAATAGTGGTTGTCCTGGTAGACGATCGAGTGCTACATCTGCCACGACCTCACCCTCGCCTCTGATGTTGGTTAGCAGACCCCTCCTTCCTTCCAACACCCTCTTGGCCTGCTCTATCTTCCAGGTCCTGCATACAGGGCGGATACCCCGTACTCGTACCTTGAAGGCCTGCCACGGTAGATTTTGAAAGCGTGGCGGCAAGGTCCGAAGTTGGTCGACCGGTGCCCTTACCACCTTGCCGTGGTCACGAAGAGCCACCTCGAACTGGCCGTCCACCAGGTGTTGAACTTCTCCTCGGACCCAGGTACCTTCTTTACTTCTGTACGCCACCAGACGTCCAGTGGTCAGTCTTCCCTGGTTTGGAAAGTGGAGGTGGCCGCGGTCGCTCATGTACCGATACAGGTCCCGGTACAGTCGCCTAGCTTCTTCCCGACCGTCGTCCACCTGCGCCCAGAATTCTACCGGATTGTCCACGTGGACAATTCCGATCCGAACAGAACTGCTCAAAACTATATTTTTGATGGTGTTCATTTTCTTGAGGATGTCTACTGATGAGACTATGGTGCCGAGAACTGCTTATATAGTCTGAAAACCCTTATCTTACCCCACTCTTATTTCGACTCTTAGAGGAGGGATGTGTAGGAGTGGCTACGGCCCCTTAGAATATTGTGGCACTTGGTCTAGGTGCTGAAGATTTTTCCCTTGGTAAATTTATATTATTTGAATTTGATTCTTCTGAGTTTTTAGGTATTTCTTCCAGTTGCAATTCAATTTCGTTCGGTTTGTCCAAAGGTTTTAGTTTATTAATGATTTTGTGTATATTACTTTTTATTATTGTCCCAATTATTAATAGTAGGATCAAAGATACTAATTCGTGGTTCTAGCAATGCATAAGCATAATCGCCTACATTGAATTCTACCGGTCGGGAATGTTTATCATAGTACTTCTTCGAACGGTGCTTGGAGGCAATCAAATTATCGGCTGCTATGTTGCGGATTTTTATAGTATGAGTTATTAATTCTGTTAAATAGTCGCCATATGATTTTAACCTTTCGCCAGTTGGAAACGAACTTGGTTCACGGGCTGGTTTTCCAAATATTAATTCATATGGAGAGAAATTTGTTGCTTCATGTACGGAAGTATTATAAGAAAACATGGCAAATGGTATTAATAGGTCCCAATCTTCATAATTATCCATGTAATGTTTAAGATATTCTGTTAGTACTATATGACTTCGTTCTAGTGATCCATTAGTTTGTGGTCTGTATCCAGAAGTTGTGATTTGTTTGATTTTGAATATTTCTGAAAGATTTTTCATTAAGCTTCCGATAAAACTAGTTCCCTTGTCTGTTAATATTGCTCGTGGTGTTCCATATATGGCAATAAAATGTCTCGCGAAAGCGTCTGCTATTGTGGCTGCTCTAATGTTTGGTATTGCTACTGCTATACAATATTTCGTTAAACAATCTTGCATTGTGAGAATGTATTTATTTCCGCTAGGCGTTAAAGGTAAAGGTCCTACGGTGTCTAAAGCAACTTTATCAAATGGTTCTATCGGGGTATCGGTAATTAACATTGGTTGACGAGTTTTTGCTCTAACTAATTTCTCTTCTTGACAGCTTGGACATTTCCTGATATAATTTCGTATTTCGTTGTGCATTTCTGGCCATTGATATTTCGCTCTGATGCGTTTATATGTTTTTGTGACTCCTTTATGTCCTCCTATCAAACTGTCGTGAGCTTCGCGAATTATTTGTAATCGATCTTCTTCTGATGGTGTAATCGTTGAACAATTGCATATGATGATTTTCTGTGTTGTACCGTTGAAAACGTCCTTTATTAATTTAGTTAATTCATTGGTTGGTAATTTATGAAAATCTCCGACTGCTGATATTCTAAATGATTTAATTGGATTTTGATCTAAATGCTGTTTCAGTGTTTGTAGTCCGTTTAGTATATCTTCACTTTTAATGGTGTCGTAAAAATTATCTGATATTATTATACTGTAAACTTTGTATGAGCCATTTGCTGATTCTATTACGTCTCCTTTCTGCGGTTTCTTTGACATGAGCTGTTGTAAATCTATTGCTTCTGTGTCCAGTAACAGTTTTCCAATGGGGGTTACCAATTTACAGTCCGCAGGTATGAAATGTGCGTAATGACCTTCCTCGGTGGTCAGGGTGTTTGGAGAGATAATAACCTCAAGTGTCTGTGAAGGTTGCACTTTTCTTCGCAGGTCATCTCCCTCCGTGGAAAGAGTGTCTGTGTCAAGAAGTGTGAACGGATAAGGGTCAACGGTACGGTCAAAGTTTTCCTGTGGTTGCTGGATTGCCGTTCCTATTGTTTCGTTAACAGGTTGTGGTTGTAAAATTCCCTCATTTGTTACAAGTGATAATGGTGTATGGTTAAGTAAATCCTGTTGCGGGTTTGCGATTATCGTGTTTTCCGTAATGGTATTTTCTGATGGTTCTTCGAATGAAATCAAGTTTACGTCTTCTTCTGTCGATGTGATTTTAGTAGAATTTGCTTGCGGATGAAAGTTTATTGTTTCCATGTGTTCATCTGGCATACTTATCTCGTGCGATAAGTTAGGTAAGACTCTCGGTCTATCTGCTATTGGAGAATGTTGAACCTTCCCACGGGCTGGTTCTTCATCAGAGCTAGTGTTTTCCTCTTGATATTTCGGTCTCCTTTCCCTGTCCCTTTGTAGTTGCCGCACACGAAATCCTATGGAATCCGTGTCGATTTCTGGTTTCTGTCCTATGTGCTTGTAATCGGGGTCTTGAGGATCTCGGGGTATAAGTGGTAAGCAAGATGGTACTGGGTTACGTGATAATGCGTCTGCGTTCTTGTTCGTCTTTCCTGCTTTATGGATAACCTGATATTCGTACTCTAAGAGTCTGAGTCTCCACTTCATAAGTCGTGATGTCGGATCCTTGACAGAGTGTAACCAGACTAACGGTCGGTGATCTGTGACGAGTGTGAATTTTGTTCCATAAAGATACGGTCTGAAATATTGTACTGCGTAAACCATTGCAAGACATTCCTTTTCTGTAGCAGAATAATTCCTTTCGGCTTTATTTAAGGTACGAGATGCGTAGGCAATTGGTAGATCGTTTCCTATTTCTCCTTGACTAAGTACAGCTCCAATTGCGTAATCTGATGCGTCAGTGGTAACAATGAATGGTCGATTAAAATCCGGATATTGTAAAATTGGTTGTGTACAGAGTTCGTCGCGTAAATTTTCAAAACTTTTTTGCTGGTCTTCGGTCCACTTAAAACGAATTCCTTTACCTAATAACTGAACTAATGGTTTTGATTTAATAGAATAATCTTTTATGAAACGGCGATAATATCCTGTCAGTCCCAAGAACTGCTGGACATTTTTCTGTGTTTTAGGAATGGGAAATTCTTTTACAGCTTGTAATTTACGAGGATCTGGCTTAACACCATTTTCTGTTAAAATGTGTCCTAAATAAGTAACCTCCTTACGTAAGAATTCGCATTTATCAATCTGCAGTGTAAGTCCAAATTCTCTGAGCCGATTGAGTAATTTTTTTACTTTTATTTCATGTTCTCGTAGTGATGAAGAGAAAACAACCATATCGTCTATGAATACATGAGCGTTCTCTAGACCAGATATAACTTGATTCATTAAGCGTTGAAATGTCGGTGGTGCATTTTTTAAACCAAATGGCATGCGTACAAATTCAAAATGCCCATCCGGTGTTGTGAATGCTGTTTTCGGACAATCCTTAGGATCCATTTGAACTTGATGAAATCCATTTGCTATATCAAAAATTGTGAAATATTTTGCTCCTCCCAATTTATCTAGAATTTCGGTGATATTCGGCAAAGGAAATTTATCACTCAAAGTCTTTTCGTTTAAGGCTCGGAAATCGATTACCATACGCCAACGCTTATTGCCCTTAGCGTCTGGTTTCTTTGGTACAATCCATAACGGAGAATTATATGGTGAACTAGATGGCTGTATGACTCCTTGTAATAACAGAGCCTTTACTTGACGTTGTATTTCGTCTTGGTGTACTGGTGGATATCGGTATTGTCTTGTATTAATCGGTACGTCATCTGTTGTATGAATTGAATGGTAAAAATTCGGTACTTCTCCTAGTTTGTCTCCAGGCAAGTAAAATCTGTCTGAAAATTCGTCGACGATGTTGAATACATGTTTACGTTCTTCTGCATTGAGATGATCGGTTCTTAAAAGATTTCTAATTCGTGTTGCTCTATTTTCTGGTGTGTTTTCGGTCATATATGAAGAAATTGGGTCGTCGTCCGACGAGTCGTAAATATCGTAAGGATGAATGTATTGAGGTTCAATTTCGATGTCTACATCGTCTTCTCCGGTATTCGTTGCTAACGCGTAACAAATGCCGTCACGATTATATACTGCTGCTTCGCCAATGTATATATTTTCTGATGTTTTGAGTCGCGGTAAGTATCCCTCTTTAATATTTGGATTAGCTATGTGAATTGCAATTTGTTTTGTTGTTCGAGCTTCGATACGGTGTTTAGTCGATTTCGGATTTTTCTGCTGAGCTAAATCTCGGTAATTTGAAAAACGAAGTGGTCGAATAGGTTTATCTTTCAATACTAGTGTTCCATGATAATATGAAATTTCTGCTTCTTCTTGTAATAAAAATGGGCTGCCTATAATTCCATCGGCTTCTATTGCAAGGTTCTCTACTACGTAAAATAATGCAGGCTTACCGTGAATGTGAAGAATTGTGGTTCCTATGCTATAAATAGGTGATTTTGTAAGTCCTGTGATTTCAATAACTTCTTTAGTGATACGTTTGGCTTGATCTCCGAGAACATCGCGCACTATTAAGTTAACTGCCGCGCCACCGTCAATTAAAAATTCAGCTGTTTCTAATTCTAATTCCGGAACTTTGATTTTTATTCTTGGTGCTGGGGTTTCCTTGATGAGGATTCTCCCGTGAATCTGACTATCTTTTGGCGAGGTCTTTGCAGATCGCTCACCGCCTCGCCTTTCCGTTGAGCGTTTTCTGAGTTTAAAGACTTGTTTGATTCGACTGAAGAATTTCGAGAGTATGATCGCTGTCTGAAATTTTGCGAATTCCTCCTACAACGTTTTTCATCGTGTCCTTGGGTATCACATCGCCAACAATATAGCTGCGAAGTATCATCCTTTTCACTGCGTTTTAAAACTGTAAACCGTTTTTCATCTTGATCTGTGCGTGGTGAATTTGAACGATAAGAAGGTGAATTCGATTGATTCCTGGATCGCACAGTCCATGCTGATGTACGTGGTCGTCCTTCTCTCTCGTCTTCAGAGTTAGATGGTCTCCTCTGTCGATCTCTATATCGATCGTGTCGTGTTGGAGATTGAGGGTATGAAATTTCATTTCGACGTTCGTTGCTGTGGTGATCCCTGTTGTTCCAGCCTCCTGGTGATGTGTTTCGTGCCAAATCACGACGACTTCTTAATTTCCTGTCTACCTCTAGCACAGCGTCAAAAGCTTCCTCTAAGTTTTTAATGTCTCTATTTTGTGCTGATACCTTAAAAGAGATGCGGTCTGGTAATCCATCTAGGAAATTTTCTAAAATATCCATTTCCATTTGTTTAATATTTTCCTCTGAATGTCTAGGATATTTCTCTTTAATCGCTCCTCTTGTACAATAAACAAGATGGCTTGTTCTATCGATGTAGTTTCTCAAACTTTCGTATTCCCTAATTTGAAGCCTGGCAATTTCTGTTTGAAATTGCGATAAGCTCTTTCCTGGTCCAAATCTTCTCTTCAAATGCTTGATCAACGCGGATACCGAAGTGAATTGATGTTCTAAAGTACTTCTTCGCGCCGGACCGGTGAGTTTAGTTAAAATAATTGTAAGGTATTCCCTTTCTGTTCCCTCAGGAATCAAGGTCAATCCATCTTCTACCAGTTGTGCAAAACGTGATAAAGGTGGATTCTCACCATCAAATGTTGGTATTGTTAACGCAACATTTTGTATGCAGGATCTTTGTGTCAAAAGTGTCATAGAATTTGCGATCGAAACTGTTAAGTTCATAAGATCGGCTGAAGAAATATTGGCTTGTTCATTCGCCATGTTGAATGAATTTGTTGGTTAAAGAATGTAACTAGGAAAACTAGTATATACCTCTTGTTACCCGATTGACTAGGAAAACTAGTATACAATCGTTGTTCAACAAAGTAATAGCCGTGTGTCAAATTCCACGAAAGTAATTATGCCAGTGAAAATGATCTATGTGACTATATCCCACCGCTGTCACCAGTTCTGTTACGTGGCCGACGGCTTGGCAGCGCGCGTGGCTATCAGAGGCTTTCTGATTGGCGGCCGCGTAACTTATTTTATTATCAATACAACCCGAGCGGTAAGATTGTATTGTGGTAGGAACTGTCACAAGGTTTCACTGGGTTTAAAGGAGAATGCTAATGTGGGTTTGACACAGCAATGTATATATTCTACAATCTTGGTCTATTACAGATGTTGTTGTCGCGAATATAGGTGTATAATGTGATATATTACCTATTTCCACTATGCTCGGTGTTCACGCACTGGCAATGCGGGGGTGTTGTGTGTGGTTGATTGTAATGCCAAATAGAAACACGACTCGCGGATTCTATAAGGTGAATGTTGCTCGAAGGGGACTTCAACCCGATCTCACTAATAGTAACCAACTCACTACCGTACACGACGTGCTCGACACGAGATGAACTCTGGTACTGCCCCCGATCGTTGGTACGAACGGGTTTATATACTAATTAAGAAGGGTGGTCTGGTTACTATTCGAGTGATCAGGCTGGGTCCACCTGCCTCTGCGACAGTTTAGAGTGGTTGCATCTGCTATTTGATTACGGCGGACCCATTGCTTTCCCAAGTGTTTGGTTCTGCTATCGGTGGGCCTTCTGTTTATTACGAGAGTAAATGGTCGGTTTGCCCGAGAGTTTTCCTTTCCAGATGTTTAAGCTTATTTGAAAGGAGACACGTTTGATAAAAACGGTCTGTCTACGTGACACCTTTATTGATGATTACTCCAGATATTGTAAAGTGTATTTCCTAAAGAACAAAAGTGATGTATTCGAAAAGTTTCAAGAATATAAGAACATTGCAGAAAATCTGTGTGAAAAAAAGATTAAGTATCTACAAACGGATAATGGGAAAGAATACTGCAATGAGAAATTCGACAAATTTTTAAAAGACTGTGGAATACAAAGAAGGACGTCTACTCCATATACACCACAACAAAATGGAGTTGGCGAAAGGAAGAACAGAACACTGTTAGACACGGCAAGATGTATGTTGATCAAATCGGAATTGGCAGCTGGCTTCTGGGCAGAGGCAGTAATGACAGCAAATTACATAAGAAATAGGTGCCCTACGAACTCATTAGATGGTAAAATACCATATGAGCTCTGGTCTGATCGAAAGGTAAATATAAATCACTTACGGGTTTTTGGAACAGACTTTTATTGTAGATAAAACTGTAACCAAAGGAAAATTAGAAGAAAGGTCAATAGAAAGTGTTATGGTGGGATACTCTGAACAGATAAAAGGGTACAGAGTATATGTTCCGAAAATGAGGAAGGTCATAGTATCAAGAGATGTAAGATTCATGAGTGAAGCAGAAGAATCCACAGTTATAAACCAGAATGAAATGATCGCTGAAGAAGAAGAGGACACAGATGCTGATTCATCAGAAATATTAATCCCGATAAATGAAAGCCAACAAACTGACAATAATGATGAAAACAAATGTCTCGAAAGAAGAGTACGCGGAAGACCAAAAATAATCCGCACGGGAAGGCCAGGGAGGCCGAAGAAATCGTACAGAACTACATCATGCAATGAATATGAAGAAAATCAGCGAGCAGATAGAGAGGATGCAACGGACAACGGTAATGATGAGGTATTTGAGGATGCAACAGCAAACTACGCACAGATAGACTTGCACGAAGCAGTTAAAGGTGAAAACAAAGAAGAATGGTATGAAGCAATTGTGAACGAGTTCAAAAGTCTGTTGAAAAATGACACGTGGGATATAGTTGAAAAACCATGTAATAAAAACATTATTGACTGCAAAATAGTGTTACCGAACAAATTTAATAGTCGCGGTGAAATAAATAAGAGAAAAGCTAGGTTAGTAGCAAGAGGTTTCAATCAGAAAAAGGGATATGACTATGATCAAACATTTGCACCAGTTGCTAGACTAGAATCTTTCAGAATGTTAATCGCTTTAGCAGTGCAATATAACCTAATAATACATCAAATGGATGTAACATCCGCTTTCCTAAATGGAAAGCTAGATGAGGAGGTTTACATGGAAATACCTGAGCTGTTGGAAGATTCTTTATGTTGCATAATAGAAACAGAAAAGGGGGATATAAAAACAAAGCATTATTGATGTTAAAGAACATACAGAACAAAAATAGAAATTGTTGTAAACTGAAAAAGGGGTTATACGGTCTAAAACAAGCGAGTCGTCAGTGGAACATATTATTAGACTCTAAATTAAAGGAACTAGGTTTAAAGCAGAGTAATTCTGATCCGTGTATATATTTCATTAAGAATAAGGAAACATTTATATTAATTTTAGTATACGTTGATGACATGTTAATTGCGGGAAATAATGTTAATAAAATTGCGGAAATTAAAGAAGGACTCAAAGAAACGTTTGAAATCAAAGATATGGGAGAAGCAAACTATTGCTTAGGGATAGAAATTTTGTGAAAAGGAAATGTAATTACATTAATTCAAAGAAAATATATTAGAGATATATTAAATAGATTTGAAATGGAAAATGCAAACAGACTAGATACGCCTGCAAACATTAATGAAACTTTTCATTCAGATATAGGAAGCTGCGAAGCACCTTATAAAGAACTGATTGGTGCATTGATGTACCTGGCCGTAGTGTCGAGGCCAGATATAATGAACAGGGTTGTATTTTTGGCACAATTTGCATCAGCATACAACAAAGCACATTGGATCGCTGCAAAGAGAATTTTAAGATATCTCAAACAAACAATTAACCTTTAAAGTACCAAAGAGGGAATTTTGAAATAATTGGGTATGCTGATGCAGATTGGGGATCCGATGCAATAGACAGGAAATCACATACTGGTTATGCATTTGTAATGTGTAATGCTGCGATCTCATGGAAATCGCAAAAACAAAGAACAGTAGCGTTGTCATCAGCAGAAGCTGAATACATGGCAATTGCTGAAGCCGCCAAGGAAGCAATACACATTAAAAACTTTCTTGAAGAACTTGGGTTAGACATAAACATCAAAGTATTTAATGATAATCAAAGTGCGAACCTGCTCACAAAGGATGCGGTATTACATGCAAGATCTAAGCACATAGATCTAAGATATCATTTTGTAAGAGGTGCAATAAAGGACAAAAGGTTTGAGTTGGAATATCTCCCAACAGAAAAAATGGTAGCGGATGTGCTAACGAAACCGCTAAGCAAATCAAAACATATATTGTGTTGGACAGGAATGGGGCTGCAGGAGATAGAAAAATAAATCGTTAATGTAATGTATGCGTTGAGGGGGGTGTGTTGAGATTAGTCAACGCATAACAGTGTGTATGTGTGCATGTATGTACAAGTACGATAATATGTGAAACGGGATAGTGTGCCACGTGCTGTATGTATAAAGGAATTTATAACAGGCTAAATATATATATATGTGTGTAATTGCACTAATTGGATTATTATTGAATCCTGTAACTAAGCACATAGGAAATATCTGCTGTTCTTCTGCTCTAACTTTAACAAATCACAATGACCAAAACCAAAAATAATGTACCTACAAAAGATAACCATAAGCCGCAAGCTAGTTGGTAACCAATCGCAGCACCAAAGATATTACCAGCAATAAATATTCCATTTATCAAACAATAATACTCGGCCGCTCACTCCGTAACGGCTATCCACAGACAAATTATCTGCCGCGCAGTAGTTACCTACCACGCGCCAGTTACCTGTTACACAGTTACCGACTGCAGAACTGTCCATCGTGCTGCCGCGCAATCCTTACCGCAAGGAAACCATACTTACCATCAGACATACCATCAAGGATAAGTCTGGTATACAATACTATAAACGAAAAGATAATTATACTAAAATCAAAGGGATCACAGATAAACTTCCAGACGGCCCAACATCAGGAATTAATTAATTAATATATAAAGAAATAAGTCAATATTATGATTAAAAATATATTACATATATAAAACATCATATAAGTTTGTGTTACGTCCGGAAAATTTTGCAAATTTGTCCGCCTCACGTTCCCTTATCAAGCCTTCGGGTTATAGGAGCCTCCTCATGTAAGGGGCGTGGGGAGGGCAAATTACTACTGCACCCTTCTTTAATTTCTCCTTGACTCTGTGCTTTCCCATCAAGCCTTCGGGTTGTAAGAGACTTCTTCATGTGGGAAATGCGCAGGGAAAAGTTTGAGCTTATAATTATTCTACTTTTGTCTTTCCTATTCTTTCATTCTTCTCATACTTCTCAATTCTCTTCTTAGTCGAAACCCCTCCTTGAAACTATCGTCGTGCTCAACTGCGTAGTAACAGAAACGTGTGATAGGAAAACTCGGCTTCGATCGAGGAGAAGTATCATAAACACCGTTCGCGGCGCGGTTAGCCAGTGCTTCGCATTGTAGGGGTCTCCTCGGGCTAACTGCGCAAAAGCGCAAAGATTACGTTATTATCGAGATTAACATCGATACTCTCCTCTTTTTCACGCGTGGGCGCCAGTCGGTCCCTAACCCGATCGCGTGTATGAATTGATTGCTGGAATGAGAACGCAAAGCAATGAAGCTCGTTGAATATTTGTATGAATGCGAGAGCGAGGAATGAGAACCCTTGCAGGCAAACGTTAGCATGCGTTCGAGGACTGTTTAGAGGCAAAGGGTCGTGCGAGGCAATAAAAGTCTTTGTATCGAATTCCGAGAATTTGCCTGAAACCGAAAACCTAACGGTAATTTTCGATTGGCGAGAACGTTCTCGAAGCAACTACGTCGCAACTGAAATAACGAATGTTCGATTAATAATGGAAACCTGTCGTTATTGAAAAATAGCAATCGAACACCAAATGCCTTATATCGAGCGTACCGGCGCAATCCATATTGTTGATCGAGTTCTCTGCGAACAAATGATTGTGAACAAGCCGATTGTTAATTAAGAAACCACGTGATCATCGGTTTCATTATCCGTGCGCAATGGTACTACGAATGATTCAATTATTTGCAAATTCATTGCTCAATAATTCTGATTCAATTTACTAGTCGATAATCGCTTCAATTACTATCTAATATCCAAATTATTAAAACATGGAACAATCCAGAAATTCTACGGCGTAGAAACACCGAAAAGCCGTTAGACAGAGAGGGAACACCAAGAAAGAGAGAAAACATGATCTAGAGGAATTTAGCTGGCACGTGCGCTTAACCAATAGCGACGCACGCGACGCTGTCGTCACGCGCTATGATTTGCCGAAATGTCCCCACGCAGGACATCGTCCTCGCGACGGGCCCTTCCGGCTAGGATCGCGATCGATTCTGATCACTCTTCGTCGAACAATCTAGTAAGTCGGGACGGGAGCCCGTGCGTCTAGAGATAGAGTTGTCGTTCGTACTTCGTTGTAATTTACCTGCGCGGCAAGACCTACGGATTAGGCAGAGTGTCGTGAGAGTGAAATTCCGGATACGCGGCAAGAACTCAGAGACGCGCACGTAAAGCCATTTCACACTATTAAACCTCTATCTTTTCTCTTTCTTTTAATCCGTTGTTCGCGTAATTTTCGTATTAAATTCACTCGCGTTTATTATTATATTATTCCGAAGAGCGTAATCGTCTTGTGTTCGTCTAATTAATTTTGCAACAAACGACAAACGGGCGCGCGACAAGTGAAGTGCCGCCGCAGATCTCTCAACCTTTCTTGGTGTTCCAGATTAACCAGCGATTATTCAGCGATAACATAGCGATCTCAGAGCGATTTTTCATCTTGTATTGCATTCTACAATTTCACGGTAAGCCTGTTCTGTACTAATTTGTCGAGCACGGCATTAGCATTCAATTTAGACACGGCAAAACGGGCGATCTATTAAGCCTACGGGTTATAAGAGTGTCTTCATTTTAGATCGTCTCGTTTCCACAGTCAGGTACCGATTATATTATTTTTCGCTATTTTAATATTCCGTATTTTTCAATCATCGCGAATGTGTGTGGGTAACGATTGTTTCGACTGCGAGATATTTTATCAGGGACGACCCGTAAGGCCCTTTCGGGGGTTATAAGAGTCTCTTCATGCAGGTCGTTTCCTTGCGGATAGAAACCGCCTAAAATTCGATTCTTCATTATATCAGGTCGAGGCAGTCGTCCTACGTTAACCATATATTTTTCACATCTCAAATACGTGTAATAATTACAATAGAAGCTCTCATTGTAAACCAAAGGTTAGACATTTTTCGATTTTCATTTATATTATTAACGTAATAGGTTAAGCATCTTTACCCTTGTTTAAACAGTATTGTTATCAATTGAATTTACTTAACAGTGATTAACAGAAATCTAATAGAATCATTTTAGTATTCAAACAATTAGTCATTTCAAAATTCAGTTCTGTTAGCTTCGATAGTTATTTTTGAATTAAATTACTTTCTTTTTGCACACTAAATTGCATTCACATTTCTTTCAAGTTCCATTTGTATCATTTCCTTTTTCATTTTACATTTCAAATCCACGCATACCAACACAAGGTTTCAAGGAGGGACCCGTATGGGACCCAGAGCGCTGACGAACCCAACGGAAATAAATATTATCTAAATTTTCCGTCTTTTAATTTCGTTCTGACCGTAGAGGACGCTTCCGCGTCATACGCGGTCAGAACTGGTGGCAGCGATACCTTTCTCATCGCCCAAAAATAAGAATTATTATATATATTATTATATTAATTTTACGTTGCGCGCTCACGCAACGCGCAACGTAACAATCCCTACAGTGAGACCGGTCGCAAACATGCATAATAGCCATGAGAGTGACAAAAGGCACACCTCATAATAAAGCATAGCCAGTCGACTGCAGTATTGAAACATTCATAGAAACAATCATTGAAACCGCAGAAACTTCACACCATGCCAACAAACACAGGGTATTGTAGAGAATTGCAAGTTTCACAAAACTCAAACAGTACAAAAAAGGAAAGTAAACTAACAATTCAAGAGAACATTAATGAATGAATGAATGAATGAATAAAGGAAGAGAGAAACAACAGAATACCAGCAAGTATGAGTAAGGTAAAGTAGAATAAGCCATAGAAAGCTCAAATTCAGAGATGTGGTGACGGATGACAAATTATTTACAAAGACATAACCCCAATATGTCAGAGCCACAAAGTGTCAAAACCAGCATGCAAGGACTAGTTGAAAGGAACAGATTATCAATTAAGATAGCTGAATTGCAACTCAAAAGGAAGGAAAGAAAAGAAAAAAGAAAGGAAAGGAAACAAGGTAAGGTAATTGCAATAACATACTATAAAATAACAGGAATAGCCCATCCTGATGACATGAATATTAAATTCTACAGAAACAACACACCGTCACACCATCATGAGAGAGCTATACCATTACCAGAGAAAGACGTCATGAATAAATTGAATTAAAGAATATCAAAGAAGAATATGAAAATGTACAATGAATACCTAAGGATATACAGGCGACAAACCCGGAATCAAGAAGTCAAAAGGCGATAATGAAATAAAATAGATAGCGATAACAGCGATAACAGTGATAACGTGCACAATAAAATAAAATATAAGATAACTGAATGGAAGCAACCATAAATATATAAACATATTAATATTAATATCATCTACAACTATTTGTACCATCATGAATATCAAAATAAGCTAAATCATATCAATTACTTTAATTCAATTTGATTAAGAATGACTGAAAGAATGAGCGACAGAACAGTGAAGTAATTAATTAAAGAAATTAAAGAAGAATGAGATAAATAATAAGGCATAAAGTAAAAAGTGAAAGCCGTAACCAACAACATAATGTAAAAGAATGTAATGTAATGCAGCGTAATGCAATGTAATGTAATGTAATGTAATGCAATGCAATGCAATGCAATGCAATGTAATGTAATGTAATGTAAAGAAAATGAAAAAATAATAAAATAAAATACCAAATACAGGAATTGAACTAAACAGAATATACTGTAACCGCAAAAATTATTATCCACAATTACTCCATTTCTTAATCAAAGTAGATTATTAGCTAAATCATAAATAGTAAATGATAAATGATCATGTCAATGCAAATGCAAAAAGAACCAATTATTGAATGAGAACCGATTATTGAATGACGTATCAAGATAGATAACTAAAGTAACAAAATCAAATCAAGCATTAACTGCGTAGTTCGAATAGAAACTAAAAACTAGAAACTGATTACCAAATGAAGTACCAGGATAGAATGAATAAAAGCAACAAAATCAAATCAAATATACACTACGTAGCTAAATTAAACACCACACTACTGTATAGTTGAACAACAAGTAAGCAAGTCTGATATTTAATAGCCAAACCAGTATCAATCAGTTATAAATAGACATTTGAACAGACAAAACCATTCATTATTACAGAAAGAACGATAAATCAATAATCAAATCCATTGACCTTAATTAATCAAAGTGAAAATGAATAAATAGTGAATAAATACTGAACGCGAGCAAAACAGTTGAAGAAATTAAGAAAAAGAAATTAAAAAAATTAAGAAAATAAAGAAAATGTAAAGTGTACAGTGTAATGTGTACGCAAATATAACCAGCACAATATACTGTGATATAAAACAAAATAAAAATAGAATAAGATACAGTGAAGATACAGTGAAGTGAATTCCAACAATGTAACCATAGATATGCATAGATAATATAAACCATAGAATAGACAAATTCAGAGATGCGGGTAAGAATTTACAGAGATATAACCTTAACCCTAATGTGTCAAAACAAGGAGTGTCAACAGGAAACAAGACCAATGTAAGAAGACTCGTTAAGAATAAGAACAAGAACAAGATTAATTAAGAAAGCCTAATTGTCAACTAAATGAAAAGAAAGAAACAAACAAGGTAAGATAATAATTGTAATAACGCACAATAAAATAAACAAGAATAGCACAACTTAATGACATGCATATTAAATTCCTACAGAAACACCGCAATATAGCACCATCATGAAAAGGACTATGCCAACACCTCAGAGGTGTCATGAATAAATTAAATTAAATTAGATTAGAGAATATCAAAGAATATTCAAATATCCAAGGTCGCATAACAGGTGACAAGACAGAATGCAGCAATAATACAGTAGTGACAAGCGTGGCACAAGTTTAAATATAGTAAGTAGAAGCAAAAGCAGACAGCAATAAAGAAATATAATAAAAGAATGCGAGGAAGTGTATCACAAGAGAAAATAACAAGGAAGAAAGAAAACAAGAAGGAAAAAACAGGGCCAATATCGAATAACAGTAAAATCAAGAGTAACGCATGTAAGGAACATAACAAAAGAAGCAATGTATAAATAAATAAATAAATAAAACCAATGCACTGTGTAAATGCTGAAATTATTAATGACAAAAACCATGCACCTTTACAACCTTAATCATATTGAAAAGGAACAGGCAAAATATAGTATCAGCATAGACGAACTTAATTGAAATTAATCAGAATAGAATCAATGAATCAATGAAATCAAATCATGGCCAATGAAACGATAAAAGGTAAACGAAGTAAGTAAATAAGAAAATAAAGAGAGCGTGAGCGAAAGCATGAGTGTAATGTGTAAGAAAACCTATCCAGCATAATATAATGTAATGTAAAACAAGATAAGATAGAATAAAACACAATACAATGAAGTAAATTCCAACAAAATATTATTTCTTTATCAAAGTAATTATAAATTTATTGTAAATTGCAAATGATAAATGGTAAATGGTCATGTCAATGCAAATGCAAATAGAAACTGGTTATTGAATGACGTATCAAGATAAAATAACTAAAACGACAATAAATCAAATAAAATTAAATATAAACTGCGTACTTCAATTAACACTATAACACTGTATAATCTAAGAATAAATTACTAAGTATGATATTTAAATGATAAGATTATAAGATTATAACAGGAACCACGCTCCATCAAAGCATTTGAATAGACAAAACCATTTATCATCGCAGAAAGGGCAAAGATTAACAAATAATATATAATAATATCCATTAACTCTAGTTGATCAGAATGAATGAATAATGAATGAATGAATGAATGGATGAATGTCCAGTGGAACGATTAAAGAAGTTAAGAAATGAAGAAAAAAGAGAGCGTGAGTGAAAACATGAGTGTAATGTACATGCAAACCTAACCATCATAATGTAATGTAATGTAAAACAAAACAAAATAGAATAAGATACAATATAATGAAGTGAATTCCAAAAAATACAAACATAAAGATTATTGGCTCAATTACTCCATCCTATGAAAATAAATTATACAATATAAATTATAAACAGCAGCTAATTATGTCAATGCAATTAAAAAACTGTTACCCAATGATTTCAATTACTCTATTTCTTTTATCGAAGCAATATAAATCAATTGTAAATTGTAAATGATAAATGGTAAATGGTCATGTCAATGCAAATGCAAATGCAAATAGAAACTGGTTATTGAATGACGTATCAAGATAAAATAACTAAATCGACAAATAAATCAAATAAAATCAAATATAAACTGCGTACTTCAATTAGCATTATAACACTGTATAATTTAAGAATAAATAGCTAACTAAGTATGATATTTAAATGATGAGATTATAAGACTATAACAGAAACCACGCTCCATCAAAGCACTTGAATAGACAAAACCATTCATCATCACAGAAAGGGCAAAAATTGAAATAACTAATATAATATCCATTAACTGTAGATGATCAGAATGAATGAACAATGACAGAATAAAAGAATGAACGACTGATCAGTGAAGTTATTAATTAAAGAAATTAAAAAGGAATGAAATAAATAGGAAGGCGTAAAGTATAAAGTGAAAGCCGTAGCCAGCATAATGTAAATAATGTAATGTAACGCAGTGTAATATAATGTAAAACAAATGAAATATAATAAAATAGAATACAAAATACAAGAAGTGGACTCCAATAAAATATAACCGTAAAGATTATTATCCGAATACTCTATTTCTTTACCAAAGTACATTATAAGTTAAATTGTAAATGGTAAATGGTAAATGACAAATGATTATGTCAATGCAAACGCAAATAGAAGTGATTATTGAATAATGTTTCAAGATAAAGTAAGTAAACAACAAATAAATCAAATCAAATGTAAACTGCGTAGTTCAATTAAACACCATATTACTGTATAATATAAGAAGAATAATAAGTCAAAGCAAGATATTTAAAATGATATCTAAAAGATAAACTAATAACAGAAACCACGCACCATCAATGCATTTGAATAGACAAAATCACTTGTCAGCACAGAGGAAAGAATAAAATTAGAATAAAATAAATCAAATCCTTTAACTCTAATCAAAATGAATAAGCAGTGAATAAAGAATGAATGAATAAATGAATAAATGAATAAATGAATAAATGAATAAATGAATAAATAATGAATAATGAATGAATAATGAATGCGAGCACAACAATTATAGAAATTAAGAAATTGAGAAATAGAGAAAATAAAGAAAATGTAGAGTGTAATATTGTAGCCAAACATAACCAACACAATGTACTGTCATATAAAATAAAATAGAATAAACACTGTCATTCTTGAAAACTTCTATTTCATCACCCAAATTCTTTAAACTTCTATTGCACCACCCAAATTCATCGTTCCGCAAATTCTGAGTAAGCAACTCAGCCGGGTCGTCGTGCGGCGAGAACGCTGACGATCCGAACGAGGTGGTTCACCCGAATTGCCAAATCAAAATGTCGACCTCGCTCATCAATATAAAATAACGCGACCGGGCCCGCCCGCACGCAGTCAGTTTTACCAGTAGTTCTCATAAGAAGTTCTCATAGACAGTTCTCATCAATATATATTGCGCGCAGTTCTTATCAGTACATCAGAACGAGTTATCGATTTATCGATATAATCGCGATCAGACTAGATCACTCCAATAATTCGTAAAATTGTAAAATCCGCGAAGATAATCCGCGAAGTACCGCTCAGAGTTCGATACTCAAAAATCTACACGTCTCTGCTACGAAGTTCAGGACTTCGACAGAGCAAGATTTCGGTAACATCAACAAATTAATCAAGTCAAGCGCGTAAGACTCTGCTACGAAGCTCACAATCAGTGCTCCGACAGAGCAAGATTCTGTGAACCCAATTGTAAAACGCGCGCGAATCAAAAATTGTACCAGGAACGAATAAACATACAAAATAGAATAACGGAAGTGATCGGAAGTGAGTGAACTTCAATCGAACTATCTGCCCTACCATCTCCGATAATTAGGATGACTCATTTCTACAGGTATCTTCGCCCAGCGAAAGGTAAGTAAGAACATCTACTTAATCAACAGCTTAGCTTTAGTTATACAAAGTACGCAGAGGACTCGGTGACAGGGAGAACTCCGCGACGTTACAACACAATAAAATGAATTAAATTACACAGGAACATCACAGCACGAATATTGGCTCCATCACCACTACTTTATAAATTATAGATTATAAATTGTAAGTGATTATGTCCATACAAATGCGAATAGAAGGTAGAAATTCATAACCGAATTATGTATAAAGATAATGAATAATAAATAAATAAATAAAAGCGACAAATAAATCAAATCAAATGTAAGGCGCGTGGTTCAATTAAACACCAAAGTACCGTATGGTATAAGAATAAATAAATCAATAAGTAAGATATCTAAAATGATATTTAAAATGATATTTAGAATGATGAACTAATAACAGAAACCACGCATCATCAAAGCATTGAATAAACAAAATCACTTCACTTATCAGTAGAGAAAGAGAATAAAATTAATCAAATCCATTACTTTAGTTAATCTAAATGAATAACAATGAATAAATAATGAATAATGACTGAATGAGAGCGAGCACAACAGTTATATTATTAAGTAATTAAAAAAAGAAAATGACAATGAAAATGAAAATGAGAATGTAATGAAAGGAGTAAAAGAAAAGGAAAGGAAAGAAAATCAAAGAAATTAAGAAATGAATTAAAGAATAGCAAAGCCAACAAATAAACTACACATATCAATCAATCATTCATCGCACAACATCATGAAAACAAATACACTGAAATACACTGAAACACAGCTGAAACAAACTAAAACATCGCTGGAACAAACAAACAAACAGAACTGAAACTGAAAACAGAGAGGAAATTAAAGGAAACACAATCAATCACATAACCCGAATTGTCCAATTTATTAATTTAAACACATTGCATTGCTGTATCGTCGCGAATAAGGAAAATTAAATAAAATAACACAGAATATTAGAATAAACATGGAATTGAATATAAATGTATATTACATTATATCTCATGTACATATAATAATAATGACATTGTTATTAAATGTATATTACATATCTAATGTAGATATGCCCATAATTCTGTTCTTATTAAATGTATATTATTGTACAATATATCTCATTTAGATATAGTAATAATGACATTGTTATTAAATGTATACTGCATTATATCTCATGTAGATATACTAACAATTATATTGTTATTAAATGTGTATTACATATCTTACGTAGATATGCCCATAATGATATTCTTATTAAAGGGGTAGACACGGCACGTGACCTCTCCGATTCGGGACGTCGGTATTACAGCAGTTTTTTCGTTGGGCCTAGTGGAGCCACTTGCGTGGTCTGGTACGGACTTGAAAGGTTTAATTTTCAGCTAGCGTGCGCGCAACACGATCTAGGAAGGCAACAGCGCCTCAAGCATTTTTACAAACACATTCAAACGCTCATCTCGCCAGAGGCATCGCGACGATCCGCCTGAAGAACGAAAGCGAAACATTGGCGCGTGGTTAGAGTGAGATGTAGGGTGATCATGCTATCCTTCTTTCAACCTAAATGATAGAATTGTCCCGCTCCGATAAATTCTGACTGACTGAACGCGTGGATTTTATATAGCGCACCGTAGCACCCCTCGCTGCTGAAAAATATATGCCTACTCTGAAGAACCGAAGGAACGTGCAATCTGAGAAACTTTTAAAAAAAAGTTATTAACTTCTTTAAATAAATGTTTCTTAATTAATAAAAATATACAGGATACGTCATGCAATTTCTGACGGGTTATATCTTGAATTTGATAAGAGATAGGAAAAAGCTGTTTATGTAAAAGTTCAATGGTATGATAATGTCTATTTTTCTGTGATTTCATCTTCTCCGTGAATGTAATTATGCACTCAAAAATGCAAATCCACTTTTTATTTAAATGGAATTGCATCAATTTTTACTTGTGTCAACTCCTTGAAACATTCTGCATAAAAAAGTACTAAGTATGGTACTATTAGAACTAATAAATGGAGGGACCTCG